ATTTGAATTAATGTTTGCAACAATAATCTTTTTATGGCGACTTCTAGAAATTTAATTTAAGGCAAAGCCCAATCAGTACTGTGTAATTTACATTTAGACATGTTTTATTTAAAAAAATCAATTTGATATAAATCTATCAACTTTAAGTGGTTCGAATGAAAGAAAAAAAAAACAGCTATATAAATTATTTCAACTTTTTAAATTTTTGTGTAAACATTTTTTTTTTGCCTGCTTGTTGATTCGAACCGCATTTTGAGCTGTAATTAACTTTTAAGCTCCAAAAATCAGTTTTAAAGTTCCAAAAGCAGCGTTTAACCATAAGAGCAGACACTACAGAGTACAGAGCATGTGAGCTTAACGATGATTGGGTCTGGGAGTTGACCATGGTTCAGTAGAACACATGCCAATGCGGGGACTGGTTACGCCGTAACGAGAGCGTGAAAAGGACGCTACGATGACCAAACGTTAGCCGTTGGATCATAATACCACGCAGCAGAACAAGGCATAAAATACTCCCTCCCACACGCCTTTTATTTTTCTTACCATAAATTCATGATCGCCTCATATTAAACAGGTTTCAGTCGCATACGTTCCTTCCATGATCGATCACGTTCTGTTGTTTTATTGTTATTTTTTTAGTTTCTCTATCAGTGGCAATAATTATATGGAAACTATCCAGATGCGATGCACGGGATGCTTTCATATTTAAATACCACTCCCTCTGTTTTTTTATTATAAGAGACAAATAACTGAATTTCGTTAATAAGAAAAACAGTTAAAATTAGTTAAGAACAATAAATGTATGAAAAGTATAATTTTTTTTTCAAAAATACCCTCATTAATAAGGAGAGAGAGCATAAGAGAGAACAATTAAATTATTAAAAGAAGGAGAAGTGGGAGGAAGAGAGTGTGTGAGTTGGAGATAATAAATATAGGTAAAATAGGAAATCAACATAAAAAAGTAGAGATAACTTTTAAGTGTCTCTTATATATAGGAACATGCCATAAGCGTCAAATGTCTCTTATAATAAGGAACGGATGGAATACTATAAAAATAGTTTCAATTTGCTTAATATTTTTTATTTTTGTGTGTATTGAAAAAAAAAACATGCCCCATCGACGTTAAAAATATTTATTCTCACACTAATTATTCTATAATTTATTAAATTATGTATATTAAGAACATAAACGACATGTATTTTAAAAAAGTAAAATAAAATATTTTTTCAGCTAACTAAAAGATTTTAACGAGGTTTTTTTTAAATGCATAACCAGGGTTGAAAAGTTTTAATTAATCATTTTACATCTTATTCGTATTATAAAATTTTAATCCGTGGTTGGTGGAAATTGACATTATTGCAATCATAATTCGATTCATGATCTGCCTTATAATATGAAAGTTTGTCAACTATGCGAAATTTAATTTATAATTTTCGAGAGAGAGAGAGAGAGAAAGAGGAAGAAAGTACCCAATAACCATCAGAATAGAGGAAGAATAGGAAAGGAGACGAACGAGGATAAATGTGCGGGAGATATTTTTTTTGTCAGGCATCTATATTTTTTTATTCAAGACATTTATATTCGAAGCATTATTAGACTGCAGAGTATTTTTTTCATAATAATTAAATTTTAATTTATCACATTGTGGGTGATTAACATCTTTTATTAAATTTAGTTCCTGTTGGTTGACCAGAAAAATTAAATCCCCTTTGGCTGGAGGAAACAATTTTGGGGTGATGAGTGAAATCGGAGTCAGCTTGGGGGGTTAGAAATGAGGAGCGTAAGACTTGGCGGCCCAGAATGCGAAGTGGTTGCTTGGAGCCGCAATTGCGCTGCTTCAGCGAATCGGGGCATATCCCACCATATCAGCCCCATTCCTTCCTTCTCAATGAAGTCCGCTGACCTTCCCCCATGGATCACTGTACTTGTTCTCATTTTAAATAATGCAAATTAAATATTACTTTGATAATTTCAACTCTCGAAGTATGGATGATTCCGCGGTATACACAAGTTGTACTCCATAATAAGCTCAATCATTTTGTTTATGATGTTTGACAATTATAACTGGCCTTCAGAATCCCAAGACACGTGGCCAATTGTCAGGAATCTTGAGATCCGAACCCCATGCAAAGCTGAATCATGAAAATACGTTTTTTTTCCTCCCTTTTTGGCCAGAATGGATATACTACTATTCCAAGTTGAAGGCCTTTTTTCCTTTAACAGTTACAGAACAAGAATGAAGAAAAAAGGTTTGGTGTGACTTCATTTTTATCCCCAACCATCGTTTTGCATTGGCAGAACAAACCAGGCCACTCTTTTATTGGCTCACGAAACATGATTTGTTTCATTATTCTCAGCGATTTTCTTTTTTGCTCCTTTCTGTTTTGCAGGTTTTGACATTCGCCCCCGTCACCACTACTAATAAATGCCCTCCATCCCATCCCATTCGTTGCATGGTGGCGTACGTGTTTATACTCATGGACGCTGGCTATTCATGAATCACGGATGCATATCAGTTCATTTATTTGATTATTTGATTGCCATGCATATCCGATCCCGATATTTTTCTTAATTTTTATTCTCGTGGTTAATTAGCACCCTTTAACGAGTGGTGGATTATTATCCTCAAAAGAACTGACTGTGTTGACCAGCTCATAATCATTGATTCTCCGTAATATTATAGTGATTTCAGATCTGTAGGTTGTTTGAAGAACAGAACTTGAAGTATGCATGATGCGGGTAAAAAGTAAAAAGTGATCAGATGAGAAGCAATGACGATAGAAATGGAAGAAACATTGCATATCGTATATATAGTGAGATTATCAAGGAGGAAGGTAACAGAGTCAGTAATTAGTGTCGGGACGTTGGATTAAGGGTGGAGTAGCAGTTAGGGAGAATTAATGATGCGGGATGGAACAAGTGACAGAAAAGAACAAGAAAAAGGCACGAGAGAGGACCATGTGAAAAGGAGTGGGGGATCATGTGAAACATTTCAGTTCCGTCTTTCTTCTAAACCCAACTGATGAAGGCAGTGAACAGATCGATGAAGAAATGAGGGAACGAAATTAAGGCCAGCAGCTAAATAATTAGACCAACGAAATTAAACAAACAAGTGGGGGGGTGGTTGAACCATTCAGCAAACCCAATTAAACTCTCACTTCCGTTGCATCTTTTGCTTCGTTGAAACGTCGAGGCCGCGAATGAACAGAACATATTGTGGAGTATGTGCAACATCGATACATATCATATGTATAGCAATATATCTAAAAGGAAAATGAAAATTGGTGGGAACTAACTTCTATTTCTATGCATGTCTTTCCTGGGCCCCTACTCATTCAGCCTGTCCTGTCAAGGGCAGACCTGGCTGCTTTTACTCCGAAGTCCACAACATGGCACAACTGCCGGATTTAGAGAGCTGTAAGCACTGTGGCTTCTAGCTCTAGCCAGGACCTTGGATCCGATTGAAAAAGGAAAAAGGAATAAAAAAGGGACTAGCTCAAAACAACACATATAAGCATGATGTCTTATAGATGTTCGTTTAGGTGCGGCGAGAGTCGCTGTCTACTTTTCTTGGAATATCCAAATCGCTTTTCTTTTCTTTTCTTTTTTTTTGGGGGGGGGGGGGTTCGAATGGTGATAAATGGAATTAAAATGATTATGACTGGAGCTAGCAGTATAAACGCTGCATCGATATGTTGGGTATAATCGAATGATTTTTAGGGGAATGAAAATACCAAGAAGGTATAAAAAGGAGCGACGAGGAGGAGTGGGAAGGGGGAAAATGATCTTGAAGGCGCCCACACATGAAACATCTCAACTTTTTTATCCAAAAGGAATGGCTATCAAATTTTGGTTGGGTAAATTTCTGTCATATTTTGATTGAAGCAAAGATGTCTAGTACCGTGCCTGCATCATAATGGCAGCTAAAATGTAGTCTCCAGTGATCCTCACGAGAATGCTGATTTTATATCATGGGAGTATTTCTACTGCTGTTACTACAGTTTGCTGACTAACTTATTGAAGGCTCCGTCAAACCTGTCCAGTCCAACTTCTTGTGTTCCTAACATTTTCGTTTACTACTCAGGTGACCAATTCCATCCAGGAAATCGCCCCTGATCTCTGAGATCAGGTTGAGCTACATGATACAAGGGCTTTACTTTTTAATGAATTTAACGTTGGAAAGACTGAAAATATCAGCAAAACGGACGGTCGAGTTCTTCATGTTTTCATCATCTGCGTATAACTCCTAACATCCGCATTCTATGTCATAATATCCTCTTCCATTATTAACTTCGTCGTTTTTAAGTTCCAATAATCTCATTTTCCTCAGTTCTTTGATGATTTCTTGCGCGATTCATTGTTTAACTGACATCGTCCGATCCTCTTTTTCGGTTCAATTTTTTGCTTGTTACACTGATCTAAGTAGAAAGATAAGGAAATTGCAGAGAGGTGCAGAGGACCGGGGAAAATGAAGCAGCTTGAATAACCGGAGGAGGCTGTGCACTTTGCTGCCTAGAATATTGAGTTTTAGCCGTAGGCTCGAAAGTGTTACTCTGCGTCTCGGTAACTCGGCCTTGCCTTGCTCATCCTTTCGGGTTAGCCCAGCCCAACATATCTCCATTTTGAGGCCCTCACAGATTGCCGCTTTAACATGATGGACACGCCATGGCCCAAATGGAAACAAAAAATTTCGGAATTTCGCATTGCGTCAAACAAAGCTTCGAAATTTATGACAGCCTGGCCCGAGGGAGGACGCAGACTAGTAGGGAGCCACGCTACTCCATGCTGTTCCAGCACGTTTCATCATCGTAACAAGAAAAATCTAACAACTTAATTAACCTTTCTAAAATTCAATAATATGTCACATTTATTCCTATTAATATATACCTTTCTAAAAAAATAAAAGTTTACACAATAATAACAAAATATAAATTATACATTAATTACAAAAAAGATATAAAAAAAAATTCTCTCCGAGTTGCGAATTTATAAAAAAAGAGTATTCCATCCCAAAAAAAAATTGAGAATACATTCCCGCATTTGAAAAGTCAGGATGCCTTAACAGAAATAGCTCACTGAGGACGAAATTTACAAGTTGCCTAACCATAAAACTCAAAAGTAAACGAAGAAGGATCTCCGGAGAAAAACACCTTCAAAAATCAGTATTGAGAGGCTTGCTGTACGGGTTGGGAGAGGCTCCTCTAAAACACACAGTCTAGATATCGATTAAAATGTTTCCTGTTGAACTCCAACAAGCTCCCATAAGTACGATCAGCGATGCCAACAAATAGAGCCTCCGTGTCCGGGCTAAAGGAAATACCAGCGATCTCACCAAATAAATCAATTTCTTGTCCCTGTTTATAATCACTGTGAGAGTCAAAAATATGGACGAAATCCGCTGGCTCAGCCATAGCCAGAAACCGTCCATCTGAAGTGAACCTCAGGGCTCTTACTGCACCCATTCTTCCCTTGAGTACAGCAATGGAACGTGAAAGATTTCTGATGTCCCACAACCTACATGTTGTGTCCTGATTCCCAGTAGCCAATATTCGCCCATCTGGATGCCAAGCAGAGGCAAAAGAATAGTCCAAGTGTCCTGTCAGGCTACCGGTAACCTGAAATATGCCATGTCATGATCAGAAATCGTGAAATAAGCAGCTGCTCATTTACAAACAAATGCAACTATCAACTTACCTTTCCTGTGTTAGCATCAGCTATCAAACCCTCAGCACTATCCCCAACAACAGCTAACAACTTCCCATCGGGACTAACTGAAATGCTCTGCAAGGTTCAAACAGCAAACACGATTGTTATGGTTATTTGAGGAAGTGACCAAGATCCACATGGTAAAAAGCGTTCCTAGTGGACGACACTCACGTTAACAGACCAGTCATATTTGAAGCAACCAAGAGAAGCAAAATTATCAGCATCGAAAACTCTAACTTGGGCGTCATTATTTGCTGTCACGACCCTCATAGACCCACTGCAGAAACAACGATTAGTTATCAGCCAAACCCAAACCAAAGAATTTCAAGCGAAGTTCCTTTCTTTTCTTCTTTCCCAGTAAGTTGCTTACCTGGGATTAGGGTAAACATCTACAGCATTGGTTATAGCATTATCATCGGTAGTTATTTTACTACAGAAAGCAACTCCAGATTTATTCAGGTTCTGTCCACAAAGATTCAAAACCCGTCAAAACGGAAGATCTTAAGCTGACTAATCATTTCTCAATTCAAATCATCGATGATTTCCTACCTTGCAAATAAGCTCACCCTGGAAACCGCCTGCTACCATTAAATTTTCTTTAACAGCCATGGTGCTTATTTGTACTCTGGAGATAGGTTGAGCAGAAAATCCGGGGCGCTTCTGCAAAAAGAACACAGTAACAATAGGATCAGATAAAGTTCAGTGCAGAAACCATACAAGGTTCGGTCATATCTGGGTACGTACAACAGTTGGAACAATGGGTTTCACCGCATTAAGTACTTCTTTACTCCTTCGGAGTAAAGACGACCAATGCATCACAGAGTAGTTTTGCATAAGGTATACATCATGCTTCGTCGTTGCCCATAACAAATTCCTCAGCTGCAACAGTAAAGAAAACATTTTGATGACATCAATATCAGCGCCCAGTAGGTATAAAAATGCATTTTATAAAGATAAAAAGTTTGCAGCTAGAATAACAATGGAATGGATACATTGGAGCAACAACTGTTAGATTAGATGTAACTTATTGCTTCTAGCAACGACAATCTAAATATTGTCCTCAGCACAATAGAATACCAATAAATTCTCCACCAATGTTGGCAGTTGCCATCCTCTTTTTCTTCTTTAGAAAACAGGATTTCTATTTGGGGAAGTAGTTACTGATCACGATTAAAATGACAGGGAACCTTTTCTTTGTCCTTTCTTTAAATTGATATCTTAACGATGTAGAAAAAGTTGGGTGGTTACTGATCCCAGAATGATGGCCTTCATTTGTAAAGAGAGGAGAAAGGGAAAGACAGCACAGAGAAGCGATTGGCAACGTAAAAAGTAAGAACACTTGAATATTGTTTAAAATAAGAGTCATCCAACATCATGTAAATCGACAATCACCAACATATGGAGAGTTCATAATCTGCGAAGGGAAGGTTGGCTAGTAGTAAATACAAGACCATTGAAGAAAACTAGTAGTTTGCATGTTAACGTTACTCGACACAATAAAGCCAATGTCCAACAACTTCGGCGATTCAAGTATATAAAGAACTACATCAAAATAATGAGAACGGCTGACCAAAAATTAGAATAGAGGTGATCATCATATGATTGCAAAAGGAAATAACTTATAATGGCAACCAGACAACAGATTATTGGAGAATGAAATTAAATTAAAATAACGCAAACTGAATGTCAGTAAAAGCTGTACTGGCTGGCTAAAAGATCCTGTAAGTGCGCAGTCCATAATTAAGGGATGAGATCCAGTTGATTAGGACAAATTGACATTAATTACAGATATTGTTACAGCCCTCTTAAGTGTGGTCAGATATTTTCCTATCATACCATAAAAAAAAGGTCGTGCCAAGCCGCTCACTTTCCACCTGCCTTAAAATCTGACATAAAGAGAGAAATAGCAAGCCTAGATGCACAAAGGTCAAATGACATAATGAAATTACAAATACAAATATAGTTACAGCTTGAATGCAAAACTACGTGCCCAAATATATTAATCATAGAAGAGAGTAAATACAAAAATGAATGAGTATATGATAATGCATAAAATTATAGATATGGCATGGGAAGCATCCATGGAATTCAAAAGTAAATGCAGTGCAGTATGCAGTATTCAACAAGGACATCAGAGCTTGAATTTATCGTTTGCATGTTTTGACGGAAATGAAAACACAAAAGACCTATTCTTCTCATCTGAAGAGAGAATCAAATACTCAACATCTATCTCCTTATGGAAGAACTCATATGCCATGTTATACCGCAAGAGTTGGGTAGGTCAACTGTAAAATGCAAATACAGCAACAGCAGGAAACTGCTAAAATTCCGGTTAGAAACTATATGGGCAGTTAATTCTGATCAACTTAAAAGACTGGATGGTTTGAAGCTAAAAAGCTTCAGGTCCAACGATATGTGACCAGTTGGTTGTTACCCATCATCATTTTATTTCATACAAGCATGCCATATAGATGGAAAACCCTATCACACAAAGTCACTGATTTTACGAACACCAATCGACACCATAGCCTTGATGAAACCATATCCATAACTTGACTTGAAACCATCTTGTCCGTTCAACAGAATATCTGGCATGTATCGGAATAATACTTTTGAAAGATTAATCTTCTAATTTTTAAGAAAAATAAAAAAGAATAGAACAAAGTAAGGGTGTGCAACTCAAAAGTAAGCCTCCTTGTCATCTGAGAAAGATTTGCAGAACACGATAAGGCGAATTAAGTCTGAAATATGGAAATGAAATTTGCACTTGCTGAAGAATCAAAGGTAAAAATTTACGTAGAACTTTTTTCCTTGATATTCTGGGTGCTGTTGATGCAAAATACAACACAAGAGAGTTGTCAATGAAAATTTCTGAACTAGACTAGAAAAATCTTTTACCTTGTAAGAGCAAGGCTTCATAGTGGCTTCGGAAGAAATTAAACAAGACTCATAATTAACCAATTTTAATCGTACGGAATTTTCGAGTTGTAAAATTCCAGAGTCGTTTGATTTAAGAGAAGATTTTTTTTTTTTTGGGTGGTTTCAGACTAATTAGTCACAAAACAGAAATCATTCACAGAGTGATGCCAACGACTGAATCTTGCAAAAATATAAAACCAGATTTATTCTACATATAAGATTATCATGATCCAATATTATTCGGCCAGATTCGCGACTTGAAACAAAAATTGATGAAGTACGCAAGATAGCCACGTCAAGTTTATACTGCTAAGCTGTAGAATGAAGTCATTCGCTTTAGTAAGACAGATGATCAACTCATTTGATTTAATAGTTCTTAGAAAACAAATAGAACCTTGAAATAAAATAACAGCACCAATAGCATCACAGTAACAGCATCAGATTAGGTTGGAATATACGATTATTATGAGATGAGTTGAAAATGTAAATCAGCTCGATACCCAAATGTGGGAAAAAAGAAAAAGCACAGAAGAAAACACTTGTCACGTGATTTGTAGAGGCGAACAAAGTCTACCTGAAAATGCACAATTGTTGATTTGACGATCCTTGTATTGAACTGGAAGTCATAGAAGGAATTTCCTTTCCTCACTTCGAGGCACTCCTGATAAGCAAAAGGTTTAGATATGTGCCTACTAAAGCAAAGGCACTCGCAGTGAAGAGAAAAACTGATGCGCCGAGTTCGCAGGAATTTCTTATTCCTGTCGCCCGGAAAAAAAGGTTGTTTAAGTAACAAGCAACGTAAAAACTAACCTTGTCAAGATCCACCCGAGAGCGAGAGAGATTCTCATAGTTCTTGTACTGCTTTAGTCGAGTCTCACGGTACTTGTCCCTTGTATAATTAAGCCTCTCCCAAGGAATTCCCTGGATATCTTTCCCGTTCCTAGCTTCCCGAGCAGAAGTATCAGTCTTCGATTGACCCTGTCACGTTAACGGACCCATTACAACAAAGTACATGGATGAAACGCACGATATCTGAGGAAAAGCAGATAATAAAATAGCATTTATACCATTTCAAAATCATCTTCATAGTCGGAGTCCGGAGAATGAGAGGCAGCGTTGCTGTAAGAGCGACTGTCGGCAGAAGAGTCATCATCCTCAAAATCCTCAAAGTCCGGGACGTCGTAATAGTCGTCCACAACGTAGTTAAGATCATCGTTATTGAAAAGCTCCATAAGGATGCGAATGAGAAAGGAAGGAGCGAAAGAGGAGGTGAAGAGAGAGGGGAATGCGCCGAAAGATTTATGACGAAGTACGCCAAAGCACAGAGGGAAGTGGGGTGAAGAGACGGAAGCTACCGCAGAAAACTGGAAAAACAGTGAAAGCTAATGGTTGAGAAAAGGATGCTGGGTGAAGGAAAGACTGAAGAAAGCGGTGGAGGAGGCGATGGTTATATAGGCAAACGGCCAAGTGACGGAGGTTTTGGGGCGAAGGGGGAAGGGAGGGAAAGGAGGAGGTGGGGCCCCCGCCAGCAATAATAAATTAGAGGTGAAATCCGGGTGCCCCGCTGGGGGCTGTGGGTTCCACCCAACCGCCCCTCCTCGCTTACCTGATCCCCGGGCCAATTTTTATCAATTTACTGCAGAACATCTTTTTTCCTTTAGAAATTAGAATAGAAACTGTTCCCCGTTGATTACCTAGTGATCGTTGCATGTCCACAATGAATACGATACTGCTCCATTGCATTAAGAGTTTGCTTTGACCAAAAAAAAAAAAGGGATTGAGAGTTTGCTTGCAAATTTACATTTATGATAATATTAAATGAGTTTTAATGAAGAAATGAGAAATCAGCGAGAGATTAGGAAGAGGATCCGGTGTAATTAAGAAGAGATTGGGGGAACAGTACGTGGCAGGGCTAATTAAGACTCAAAATGTAATAAGGAAATTGGGCGGGGATTAAGAGACGGGTGGCAGATTTTGATAAAATTGAAGATAAATCTTTTATTCCAAATTTAATTAGCTGATGGCTTTTAAGATGATTGATTGGTAAGTTGTGAAAAAAGAAAATAGTTTGCATAAAAATATTTACATATAAGAGATTAATATGCACAAAACTATTTAGATATAAAAAATTAATTTACACATCAACAAGATTTGCACATAATAAAATTTTATGCACACAAAAAAATTGAGTTGCACATCTTATAAAAAGAGATTACTGCACACAAAAAAAATCAAGTTACATATAATAAAAATTAAGTTGCATAAAATCTTTAAATTCTGTTTATTAATTAAATTTTCAATAGGCAATTTATTCCTAATTTTTCTCATTAATTTTGGCGGGGCCAACAAAGGGCAGAAAGAAGACAATAACGGAAAAAGAGAAATGGGGTGGAAAAAGGAGTGGATGGCAAGTGGCAAGGGGAGAGCAGAGTCCAGGTGGTTAGGTCGAGGGCTCACCACGTGGCTTGCTGGATCGACGGAATCCCCCTCTCCTCGATTTTCCCGATCCTTGACACCGTTATCCCCACGTTTGTTTAACTATGGTTGGTTGCTGCACCCCTTTCACCCTGCCTCTGGTATTCCCCCAACCCGCTCCCTTTTTGATATACAACAATAGTACTCAATCGTCTTCGTGTTGCATGATATATAAATTCTCATAATTTCATCTAATAATTCAGGATTTTTGTAATTTGTTATTCGGTCCTTGCTTTTTTTATTGATTATAATCATTTTTTAGCTGAAGATTATAATCATTAGTCTTCATGCTTATAATATACTGTTAATTATGGCCAATACAAATTACGTAATTAGTGAGATATAAATTATCACAAAATATAGAATAAAAAAATTTTAAAAATAAAATGATATAGTGAAATTTATTTGTTATGGACGTGAAAAATTTATTAACTGCTTCGTCTTATCTATGTATAACATTTATGATTTGATTGCTTTTGATTTTATTTAGATTTTATATCAAGTTATTCATAAAATATTATTAACTGTTTCTTTTGGGGGGTATGCTATAACAGGATTAACGATAATCAGGGTTAAAAAAGAAGACTCAAGAACGCAGCCGAATCCATAATCGGTGATTAAAATCCAACCTAAATACACAACCTCCAAACGTGGCGCGAACTTGGAGAGGACGAAGACATGGAATTATCCATGAACCCCTTCTATTTTTAATTACCTCGCTACCCTTTTTCTTAATTTTTTTTTGGAACCCGTCATCGCACTTTTGATTCCAATGGAATGCTTATCTTGAGCCGGGGGAGTTCCATCAATTCCAACTCTAGAACTTGAAAAATGACGACAGCGCAAAATAATGGGGCAGGACAGTACACACGAGGTAACCCACCATCGGAAATATTCCCATAAAGACCAAAAACTGCGTCCTGTTTATTTGACGACAAAAATCAAGGGAAACTAAAGTGCCTTATGAGTGACCGTGGGGCATTTTTAACTACTATAATCAAGATAAGATTTTAAGCAGGTGGTGATTGTCAGTTTTGAGGTCACTCCCGACCCAAATGGATTTCTATTGGTACCTTTTTAGCCTGCGGACATGACTTTTAATTTGGCTTAAAAAGGGTGCTCTCATCTCAATTTTATTAGTTTTAATATAACAACTTATTTTGTTTTTAATTTAATTTTAAATATAAGATTTTAATTTACTTTATCTCTTATATCTATCAATTTTTTTTAAGATAGTCTTTATAATAGTTACACATATTAAATATTTTATCAAATGGCATTTGACCAGTGAGGATATTTTAAGAAAAAAATATCAATTTATTACAAATAACTAACTTAATTAATTTCTTTAATCTGCAAAAACTAGTTAAATAGTTTTTATACATATATTATACCACAACAGCGTTCGTTACAATTTATCCTCGTTATTCTCAGCAAGTGATTGTAATTAGTTGGCATCAATCACTCTTCACTTTTAATTAATTAGGTCAATAACGAAGGCACCCGCTCGAAAATCTCCGTCGTTACTCCTCCACGAGATATGTATGCATATATCTTCAGTGTATTTGGCGCTTGGTATCTTGTCAGCCTTTCATTGGTGATTTGGTGGTCGTGGGAAAAAAAAAAATCTCAACTTATTCAGATGCTTCGTCTTTAGTGACGGTTTAGTATTCAAATTCAGAGATTAAGGATTCTACTTCAGTGATGTTCGATATGCTGATTAATATATAATGCAAAATCTATAAGTCATGGACACTATAATAACTTATCCCGACTTCGTACATTCCCAAGAAAAAAAAACTAAAGAAAAAACTAAGCGGGGGTCATCATATATGATGAAATTTTGGGAGTCCCTCCACAAGACAAGAAGGTTTAGGCACGTATCAATTATTTGTGTGAGGTTGGTTGGTAATGACTCTAATTGACTGCTGCGTGTTTCATAAGCCCGTGTGGGTTTAAAGATAAAGAAACGGCAGTGGATCGTATCTGTCGTTAATTAAGAATGTTTGTTTTGTTGAACTTTTGTGTCTTAATCTGTACAGTCATCGAGGTATTATCTTGAATTTCCTTTTTCCCCCTCTGCGTTGTCCCCAAATTTAAATAGAGTGAACGAGACACAAATATGTGTGTGTGGAATGAGATGCTTAATTCACTGAAGAAAGTGCGGGCATGCGTATGAATTAAGGCAGAGGAAGGGACCGAAGCTGTGGAGATGGGAGGTCGGTGGAAGAAAATTGAACGTGTCCTTCAATAAACGGGCCAATTTTTACCCTCTTTTCTTTTTTTTCCCCAGTTTTTCCAGTGAAAGATGCATACGAATATGCCTCTTTAGTTTAATTCAGCTGACACTTACATTTCATCGCCCTATCTTATCCCGGCCTTTCCACGCTGCTCTTACTACGCACGACACATGCTTAATCTCTGTGGATCCTACGCAGATTGAAATTTAAAGAGAATTGAATTCGAATTTTAATAAACAGTGATTGGGATTCGGTTTGAAAAATCATGTGCTTCATCTTAATCCGATGCTCATATTTGCGCCACGAGTCATTCTGCTTCCTTCATCTGCTTCTTTCAGCGCAATGAATAATTTTCTGGGTTCATGGGGTGTGGCAGCATGGAAACATCAAATCACACGTACCTTTCTCTCCTCTCTTACAATTGTGTGTCTCGTGTTCCACCAATTCAATGGCGCTTGAATCAAACTCGTCGTGCCGGCCAGCACTTTGACATCGATGGGAATTTGAATCTCCAAGCACGTCTGGATGCCACGTGCCACTCCAAGTTCACATTTTACTCGCAGATCCACGGAAGAGACTGACTGGGATTCAAAGGAGTGTTGGATATATCGATTTATTTATTAATTATGACCTGGTTATATCCAGGGGGGAAACCATTGCTTGCTAGGATTAAATACCATATTCTTTAGTAACCGACACATACGGGTATTCCCAACTGCCGATTTAAAAATGACGAAAGGGTAAGGTAGAGAATTGGATAAGGTCATTCTAATCGGATGCGACGTTGACCGCTCCCTTCAGACACGGGAAGTTTCTCAACAGGTATCTGCATCCTATCGGGGCACGCTGTTTAGATAATCTTTACTATTGGTGATAATGAGGTAGTTCTGATTAGCTGCACCTTAGACCGTTTGTTTGCTGACACGTTCCAACTAACAGTCCGGTCAATTTAGTTGGGGTTTATTCAACATACAAAGAATATTTAAGGTGAGATTTATCCGAGTTAACATCAGTTAGTCCAACATTACGCCCCAGTATGGTCGGGGAAGGCAGAATGACTATTGTGGTTCAGATTGCTTACTGCCCAGTGAATCCAGACGGGCCGCCGCTCCTGTTAAACTCTGGGCTTGTGGCCCATTTATCTTTTTGGCCTTTTGCAACCTGAAGCCCGAATCACTGGCAGTTGATAGGATATTTTCTTACCAATAGAAGTTCGGTCTAACAAAAAAAAAAAAAACTAATCTTTCACAACATAGTGAACCAATATTTGAATGCTTACTAGAAGAAGTATTTATATTTAGTATCTGACAATACTTCAAATAGAATTGTCTTCAGTAGAAAAATACCTATACCTTAACAAACAAAAAAAAGATATTTTCTTATTTATAAATTCTTCGTCAAGATTTTATAATTAAAGCCCCTTGAACTTTTACATCTGTGTAGATATCACCCACGTTATGAATTTTGTTCGCTGTTTATCTATACATGGCTTACGGTTTAAGGAGGTTATGTGCATGCAACCCCTTTTTTGGCCAACTATATTCATACAACTCTTTAAGTCTTCTCTTCACCATAACTCGATTTTCCCACTCGTCAGATGAAAATGAACATGGTGTCGATTTTTTCAATCATTTATTGTTGTTCTATTGACCCTTTTCCTTCGTTTTTGCCATCTTTACGCGCCCGCTCATGTGTTTTTTTTTTTTCTTCTTTTTTCCTTTTCTTTTTTGTGTGTTGCATCGTAAGAGTTACTATTTAATAGCACATATAATGAGCATCGCACGCATTGATGTCATGCGCAATTTGAACAACTAAAATTAAAATTTCGATAGTGGTCAGGTTTAAAATCAAGGGCAGAACCACCATTTACTTCACCAATGCTTAGCTAAACCGGAAAGCATGCGACGCGCATAAACCTTATCTTCCTATAAGCAAGTCAAATTCGATTTTATGAACCTTTTTCCTTTTATGGGTTTCAGATACGATCTGGGGCTGATTCGATCTCGGGAAGGATGGAATATTTGTTTTAAGAAGAAGGTCGAGTCACTGTTTCGTGGGAATATGTCATCGTGAAGTTAACACGAACATGATACTGCTGGGATTCTCTGCTTTTGACACGGGTGGTATTAAGTATTAACCTGCGGCCAATTGAATAAAAAGGCCGTGTTTATTAATTACCACGGGCAACTCATTAACCATGTTACCACTTCAATCGTAATCTTAGGTGCAAAAGGATTTGCATCTGCTCTGCATACAGAAGAAGGCCCTGAAAATTTGAAGGGAAAAGAAAGAGGACCAAAAAAAAAAAGGGGAAGACCGGGTTCTTTCGTCCGGGTCATGAATTTTGCCAATTTTAACCAATTTGCTGACCTGGCAGTAGGGGGGGAAAAAACACGCGCCTTTTGGCGGGGTTACTCTGCCGCCTTCCTTAGTTAGCTTACACAAAAATGTCGAGTGTTATACTACCTCCATTAGTTAATATAAAAGTCTATTTGATTTTTATTTTCATCCTAAATATAAAATTCTAATTCACTTTATCTTTCATATTTATTCGATTTTTTCTAAGATAATCCTTCTAATAGTTATAGTTTTAGTTAATACACTTGATTAGTAAGGATATTTTAGAAAAGATAACACCTATTTAGAACAAATAACTAACTCAACTTACTTTTTTAGTCTCATCAAATTAGTCAACTGGCTCTTATAATTAAGACAAGAAGTAATAGTATTTTAGAGAAAAAGTTAATTATCTTTAGCGCCTGCTTTTCTTCTATCAGCAGTTTTGGGCTGACGACGTGTTGTGGCGTATATCAAATTAATATCTCTAGCGGTATGTTCCTTTATGCTTTCTCGGAAATATTTATCGTTCTGGACTTCTGGTCCCCGCGGCGCTCGAATACGAGAATTTGACCTGATAATATTAGATATCAAATATTATACTATCCGTTTTTTAATATAATAGTTTGTTTAATTTTTATTTTAATTTTAAATATAAAATTTCAATCCACTTCGTCTCTTATATTTATTTATTTATTTTAAAGACAGTCTTTGTAATAATAGTAGTTCTAACAAATACAACTGATTAGCAAAAATATTTTAGGAAAGACAACATCTATTTATTACAATTAACTAGCTTAACTAGTTTTTTTTTAATTTAATCAGATTAATCAACTAATTTTTATATTAAAAACCGGAGGTAGTATTAAAAGAAACACATCCTGATTTCTCGAAAAATACAAATAGTGTTAAAAAAAATGCGACTTAGCATAATATTAGCGAGAAAAACTGGCATGGGACGTAATTTTTTCCCCACAAAAAAAAGAAGGAGAAATCAATGAAGTGCTTAGCGAGGAACAATTTTAATGTCTGTAAAACTACATTTGGCGTGGGAAAATAGAAAGAAATATCAGTAAGGAAACAATATTTTGTAAAAAAAAAAATTACAATATAAACAATCACGTACGCTGTTGTATTATGTTACTCTCTCCGAACCTTCTTATAAATAATCTTAAATTCCATCATGTAGATGAAAAAGTTAATTAAAGACAATAAATAGGTGGAAACTGAAAATTCTTTCTCTAAAATGCTTTTATTTAGGGGAAAATAGAAAGTATAAGAAATAAAATAAGAAAATTATTACCAACAAGAGTTAATCTAATTGGTAAAGAGTCGGCTCATAACCCACAAGGTCGTGAGTTCTAATCCCACTGCTAATATGAGGACTGGTGGGCAATTTGTAAGTACATCTGTAAGTGCTCTTTGAACCTGAAAGCATACCCTGGCCTTGGTGAGTCCTGAGACCCAATGCACCTCAATTTTTTATTCACAAAAAAAAAGAATAAGAAAATTATTGTAATAGAAAGAATTATGAAAGAGAGAATGCGGATGAAAAAAATGATGGTTTGAAAAATGAGATTATAAATATATTGGGTATTAAAATAAGTAATTAACGGGAACAAAATAAGAAATTTGCTATAAAAATTTAAGATAACTTACTATTATTGTTTATATTTAGAGATAAAGGAGAAAAGATGGTTGTTATTTATGAAAAACGACTGAGGGGGTAATAATTCAACAAGATTGTCAAATACGAGGGCGAGAGATGGTAAAAACCCAAACATGGGATGGGACAACAATTTGAGCAAGACGTTCATATCCTTCCAAATGACAGTGTGAGGAAGCAGCAAATTATACTAATAATTCAAAATAAAATATGCGGACACCTGGGAATAATATATACTCGTATATTTTTCAATACAAGATTTGTACGTCTAGATTAAGTGGGAGAAAAGATAGACACAGAGAAGAGCCTTAAGTCACTGGTCCTGGGCTTCTGCCCTAGCTTGTTTTTCCTCAACGGCTTCTAGCCCTCGCTGACGCACATTAAGAGGGGATATATACACAAGCACATCCAAATTATGAAAAAAAAAAAACTAATAGAGGCTGGGTTTAGAAAAAAAGTTAATCCTTCACAGACGAACTAAAATTTGACTATCTTTTAAAAGAGGTGTCCACATCTAGTGCCAAAGTGTCTTGAATAAGATTGCCTCCAATAAAAAAATATTTATGCTTTAACCCCAAAAAAATTATAATAAAATCTTAAAAAAGAAAAAAAATTACAAAATAAGTCTCAAATATTATCATTCTCTAATTGAAACTTGTCATTACAATTTGTTTAAATTGTTACTGAGACTTTTTTTTTTTGAAAAAAATCAATTGTAATTATTTAAATGCAAAGCTTTTACACTTCACAACTAATTCTCTTGTTTTTATTTAAAACTTCTTTTTTATCAAAGTTTTTTTAAATTAAACTCGTGTATAAAATTTACAATTGAACCATATGCCAGCAAAATAATTATATTTCCCTCCATTTATTTTTTTAAAACCTGAATTGTTTTTATAATTTAATAAATTCGGATGGGTTCATGCTATTGTTTGTTCTTTAGTAAAGCATTCCGTGTTCTGCCGTCACATTCTCCCGAGCCTAAACCAACCAACCACTGATTGATGGGTTAAGCACTCCGCCAACTCACTCTACTTTCTAAAACATGATTGAGATGAACAAACTGTAACATCACATTATTAATTCTGGCCAAAAAAAAAAAAACATCACATTATTAATTACATACCGTTATTAAACAGAGAAAGGCTAAAGTCTTTATAAAGGGGATGGGCGGGGGTCCGAAGTCATCGTTGGCATCAAATAAACTTTTGACAGAATGCAGCTGTCAGCCATTATACTTGCGTGCTTGTTCCTGCTCTCTGAAGCGGTGGCCCCGGCCGAGTTCACTCAGTCGCCGCCCTTCGCCTGTGACTGGTCCAATCCTGCTACCAGATCCTACCCATTCTGCAACGCCAGGCTCAGCGTGTCTCGCAGAGCCCAAGACCTGGTGTCGCGCCTCTCATTGGACGAGAAGCTAGCTCAACTAGTTAACAACGCACCTCCCATTCCTCGACTCGGTATCCCCGCCTACCAATGGTGGAATGAAGCTTTGCACGGAGTATCCTACGTTGGACGAGGCATCCGATTCAATGGCTCCATTTCTTCTGCCACTAGCTTCCCTCAAGTCATCCTCTCCGCTGCTACCTTCGACCCCCTCCTCTGGTACAGAATCGGTCAGGTCAGTTAGTTTGTCTATCACACTTACTTACTGGGATTTAGTGTGTATTTTGAATGGGTGTGTGTGGATTAAGGCCGTCGGAGCAGAAGCAAGAGCAATCTATAATGCAGGGCAAGCCACGGGCATGACATTTTGGGCTCCAAACATTAACATCTTCAGAGATCCAAGATGGGGGAGAGGGCAAGAAACAGCCGGCGAAGACCCACAGGTTACTTCCAAGTACGCTGTATCGTATGTGAGGGGGTTACAAGGCGATTCCTTCCGGGGAGGCAAACTCAGCGGCCATCTTCAAGCTTCGGCTTGTTGCAAGCATTTCACGGCTTACGATTTGGACAACTGGAAGGGTGTGAATCGCTTCGTCTTCGATGCTCGCGTATGTATCTACTACTGTTTTTGACTGGGCTGCTTCGTGCCTCACTTTACTTTCTTCTTTCATCCTCACAATAAGTCCCTGGATACTGGAATGCCACTGGATTACTCATTAAGCATTGCAGTCACTTAATTTCGTTTCAATATGCGAATTTAAGGTAGAAATGAACTGAGCAGAAGGTAAACAAGAAGATAAAGTAAAGAGACAAATTCTGGATCTGATACTAGTTTTACTGTCTTGAGTATAGTCCCTTTCCGTCCAACTTTTCCATTCTCTTTACCCTTTTTCAGAATTAGAATGCTCATGATCAAGATATTTCAGGTCACTTTGCAAGATTTAGCGGACACATATCAGCCTCCATTTCAGAGCTGCGTGGAGCAAGGACGAGCAAGTGGGATAATGTGCGCTTATAACCGAGTGAATGGGGTTCCAAACTGTGCAGATTTCAATCTCCTAACTAAAACCGCCAGAAAACAATGGGGTTCCATGGGTAATTATCTGCCTCCTTCTCAAATTGCGGTTCTTTTAAGAAAATATGTGAAGTGTTAGGATAGGGACACCGACAAGGGGCTTATAATGTATCCTAATTTGATCGTTATGATGGGCGGAACCATCAGGTACATCACTTCCGATTGTGGCGCAGTCTCCCTCCTTCATAAGGATCAAGGATATGCGAGATCGGCGGAGGACGCTGTGGCCGATGTCCTTCGGCTGGTACACTCCCTGCGCCCTTTTATTTATGTGATCATCCTGTAGTACCAAGAAAGCAAGTCGTAATTATGTGTTTGTATTTGTTCACTTGTGCGTGATAAATCAAGATTTTTCACCCTATAGCCTTTCGTTATGTAGGGCCGCTTTTTTGGAATTTGTGATCAACTTGGCTACTTTTTTCATACTCGGGTTGGGTGCGCAACTTCTCATGATCATCATAATCATGTATAGAATTGACTAATGTAGGAGGATTTTAACAGTATTTTGTCGGTTTGCTTTGGCTATGAATATTATCGGAAAGCCTCCTAAAGTGATCAATGCTTTGGCCCCTGTGGAACCTTATGCGGACGTGTAATTTATTTATGTATTAAAGCCATTGTAATTTCTATCTCACCTACCTCTTTCTGGATCCAACCTATCACAGGTGCAGTTGTGGGAGTATTTTTTTTTTAACGGTCACTATGCTCAATCCAATCACAACAACTTCATTGTTTGTTTATTATAAACGGGAAAGTGGGACGCGTCTATTATTATGGCCCTATCGTTGAGAGGGATGCTTCCTTTTTGTTTTTTTTTTGGCCAACGACAGGGATGCCTCCAATTGAATGCGACACTTGAGTCTTAACATGAGCTCTCCAGAATTCAAATGGGCACTTCTTTATTTTCTAAATTATAAGAGATAAAGCAAATTAAGATCTATGCGTGATGTATATGTCCTTTGAAAAAATGACACTTTGCATATAAAAGGGCTGTGTTTGAGAACTTGTTCTCCTATTAAGGACTAAAATTTAAATTTAGTTGAGTTTTAATGGAGTTGTAGATTAGATGAATTTATTGATGATTGGGGTATTTGAACTAAATTAATGGGAAGCAACCATATATGCAGGAATGGACGTAGAGTGCGGTGATTACGTGACGAAGCATGCTAAATCAGCAGTGGTGCAGAAAAAATTACCAATATCTCAAGTAGATCGTGCACTTCACAACCTGTTTTCAATTAGAATACGGCTGGGTCTATTCGAAGGGAATCCAGCCAAACTCCCCTTCGGCGCTATCGGTCCTGATCAAGTGTGTTCAAAAGATCACCAGTATTTAGCTCTTGAAGCGGCCAAAAATGGCATTGTCCTTTTGAAGAACTCTGCCAGACTTCTCCCACTCCCCAAAATAAAACCTCCAATTTCCCTCGCAATCATAGGTCCTAACGGCAATGCTGGCTCTTTAACGCTCCTTGGAAACTATGAGGGCCCTCCCTGTAAACTTGTGACGCCATTGCAGGCCTTTCAGCACTATGTTAAGAACACCATTTATCACCCTGGTTGTGATGGAGGAGTCAATGTTCTTCGGCTCAGATTGGCGAAGCCGTGGACATCGCCGCGAAGGTTGATTACGTGGTGCTGATGATGGGTTGGGATCAAAGTCAAGAGAGAGAAGATCGTGATCGGGTTCACCTAGACTTACCTGGCAAGCAGCTGGAACTCATAGACAGCGTTGCTCAAGCTTCCAAGAGGCCAGTCACCTTGGTGATCTTTTCTGGAGGCCCTCTTGATATTTCTTCGGCCAAGGATAACAACAAAATTGGAGGCATCCTCTGGGCCGGTTATCCCGGAGAAGCTGGAGGAATCGCGCTTGCTCAGATCATCTTTGGCGATCACAACCCAGGTCAATTAAATTTTCTCTTTTAATGTGCCCGTGAAGTTTACCCAAACATGAAAGTTACATATATCTTCTTGATTAGTGCACTAGTGAAGAAAATTTGAACGGGCGAGCTTTATGATGTGAATGCAGGAGGAAGATTACC